ATAAAGACAGACACACAGGTTAATGGGATGAAACTGAGGTCCAGAAATGAACTCACCACCTCTGGGGCCGATTTATTTCCAGCAAGGGTTCCAAGACCATTCAGCAGGACAACGAATTGTTTCCTCAACAAACAGTATTGAGAAAACTGGATGTCCATATACAAAGAGATGGAGGTGGATGACCCAAACACTTAAGTGGAAGCCTGAAACTATAAAACTCTTGGAAGTTTTTGTGCTTGAATTAGTCAATGGTTTCTTGGCTTTGACACTGAAAAGCACAAACAGTCAAAGAAAAAATAGACAAAATAGACATCATCGACATTAAAAACTTGTGCTTTGAAAGGCACTATTAAGAAAACGAATGGGCCGGGTTCGGTGGCTCAGCCTGTAATCCCAGCACTTTGGGAGGCCGAGGCGAGGGGATTGCCTGAGCCTGCGGGTTTGAGACCCGGCCGGGCAACTTGGTGAGACCTCGTCTCTACGATAAATCAAAAACTAGCTGGGCGTGGTAGCATGCGCTTATAGTTCTGGCTGCGTGGAAGGCTGAGGCGGAGGGATGGCCAGAGCCCAGCAGGTCGGGGCTGCGGTGGCCATGAGCGTGACACCGCACTCCAGTCTGGGCAACAGAGTGAGACTCCAACTCAAAAAAAAAGAAAAGAAAAAAATAGAAAAAAAAGAAAAAGAAAACGAGCGGCTGGGGTGTGGTGACTCACATCTGTCATCCCAGCACTTTGGGAAGCTGAGGTGGGAGAGTTGCTTGAGCCCAGGAATTTGAGACTAGCCTGGGAACACAGCAGGACCTCGTCTCTATTAAAAAAAACTTGTTGCAAAAAAAGCTCAGGATGCTGGGCTCGGTGGCTCAGCCTGTAATCCTGTGCCTTTGGGAGGCTGAGGTGAGTGGATTGCCTGAGCCCGCGGGTTCGAGACCTGCCTGGGCAGCGAGACCTCATCTCTACAATAAATCAAAAAATCAGCCGGACGTGGTAGCGCATGCCTGTAATTCTGGCTACTTGGAAGGCTGAGGCGGAAGGATCGCCGGAGCCCAGCAGGTCGAGGCTGCGGTGGCCGGGAGCGGCCACGGAACTCCAGTCTGGGCGACAGAGTGAGACTCCAACTCAAAAAAAAAAAAAGCTCAGGACCAGATGGCTTCCAAACAGTTAGAGTTAACAGCAATCCTTCCTAAAGATGAATTAACACCAATGTCTTCCAAAACTAGCAGAGAAAAGACCACTTCATAATTCAGTATATGATGCTAGCATTACAATGATACCAAAGTCAGATAAAGACACAAGAAAATTACAGACCAATATCTCTATGAACATAGATGCAAAAATCTCAGCAAAATGCTCGCAAATGGAATCCAGCCATGCCCAAGTGAGATTTATGCCAGGATTGGTTCAACAGAAGAAAATCCACATATGCGCCATATTAATAGAAGCAGAATTAAGGACAAATGGCACATGATCTTCTCAGTAGACATACAGAGCCTGTGACAAAATAAAAAACTGTCTCATGGTAAAAACATTAAGCAAGCTAGGACCAGAAGGCAACTTTCTCAGCCTGACAAGGCGTACCTAATCGATGGCAATCCTAATCACTGACTCTGCAGTCACTGGTGACAGACTGAACACTTTCTCCCAGCCGTGGCAAGACACCCATGTCTGTTTACACCACTTTTACCCACAGTCTGTGGATGAAGCTCTAGCTGGGGACAGTAGAGCTAGAAAGCGAAAGCAGTGAGCATTCAGGCTGGGCCGCTGTTGCAGACGGCGTGCTCTTGTGCACAGAGAACTCCAGGGAACCCACCACAAAGACCAGAGCCAAGAAACAACTTCAGCAAGGTTGACAGATGAAAGACCATTGTGCAAAGATCAAATTACATTTCTATAGAAATAACCTAACTTAAAGGAAAGACATCCATGTTCTTTCTTAGATAAATCTTTTCTTCTTTCAAAAAAACATATATACATATTGTTAAGTTGGCAGTGCTCCCTTAAATGATGAACAGTGCATCCCCTATAATATCCCAGCTGGCTTTTTGGCAGCTTGAGAAGCGGATCCTAAAATTCAGACAGAAACACAAGGGATCCTCAATAAACAAACTCAGAAAAGAACACAGTTGGAGAACTCACACTTTCCAGTTTCAAAACTTATTACGAAGCAATAGTAATCAATACCAGGTGGCACTGGCACAAAAACAGACTTCCCAAGGGGGCCCCCCAAAAAACTGCAATGATCTTTTGGAGGGCGGGCCCCTTGGAGTACAGGCTTCCCCTGCTAGGTCAGTGTTCTAGGAACCCATCGGCATCAGGGGACCAGCTAGCATTGTTGTGAGAGGCTACGTTTGGCTCCAGTGCATTTTTTTGGGGAGATTCTTTCAATGCGTTTGCCCATTTCACGATGGGTGATTACGAGCGCACCTGCCCACGCCTTGCTGAGTGTCCAGCAGTTTTTGACCCCGAATGGCATGCCCCCCGTGTTCCCACCTCCATTCACCCGCTATTTCCCCAAGAGACTTTTTGTTTGTTGGTTTCCCCAGATGAGAAAAGTCCTCCAAGGGAAAGGTTTTGCTGACATGGAAGAGGTGAAGCAAAAAATGGCAGAAGCACTAGGAGGCATCAACACAGATGGATTCCAAAACTGTTTTGAGCAGTGAGAAAAGCTTCTTGATAGGTGCACTGCGTTCAGTGGAGAGGACTTTGAAGGTGACTGACGTTCAAACATGTAAGAATAAACACACATCTTTTTTTTTTTGAGTTGGTGTCTCACTCTGTTGCCTAAGCTCCCGGCCACCGCAGCCTCGACCTGCTGGGCTCAGGTGATCCTTCCACCTCAGCCTTCCAAGGAGCTGGAACTACAGGGCACGCGCCACCACGCCTGGCTAATGTTTTGATTCATTGTAGAGGTGAGGGCTCACTAAGTTGCCCAGGCTGTTCTCGAACCTGTGGGCTCACGCAATCCTCTCACCTCGGCCTTCCAAAGTGCTGGGATTATAGGCATGAGCCACCACACCCGGCCACACACATCTTTTTATAAATACATTCCAGAGTTTTTGAGTCCCTCAAAAAGATCAATGGAAGAGAATTGAGAGTCCAGAAATAAGTCCACCCACCATGCTCAACTGATTTTTGACAAAGGTGCCAAGATCAGTGGGCGAAAGAATAGTCCCTTCAACAGCCGGTTCTGGGAAAATGGAATCTCCACAAGCAAAAGAGCAGTCAGACCTCTTTCTCACGCCATATACACATCCTAACTCAAAATGGACCAAAGACCCAGTTGGAAGAGCCAAAACGACACAGCTCCTGGAAGTTTATGTGACCTAAAATTAGGTAATGGTTTCTTAGATAAGATACCTAAAGCACAACCAAACAAAGGAAAAAAACAGATAAATTCAACTACATCGAAAATTAAGACCTGCTCCTTGGAAGACACTATCAAGAAAGTAAATAAACATGTCACAGGATGGGGGCAAGTATGTGCCTTTCCTTTATCTGACAAAGGCTAGAATTTGGAACATACAAAGACCTCTTGCAACAAAAAGGCCACAGTCTAACTTAAAATGGGCAAAACACTAAGAGAGACATTCCTCCAAGGAAGACATAAAAATGGCCAACAAGCACACGGAAAGACGCTTAACATCACCAGTCATCACGGGGGTGCAAGTTAAAAGCAGCAGGGTGACCCCGAACCCCCACTCGGAGGTCTGTGAGAACCAAGGCAGGCAGTGGGGCCGAGGAATACGCGTGGTGGCTGCAGCCCTTCCCTCCTGGCGGGAATGTGAAGTGGCGCAGCTGCTCTGGGGAGCACCTGGGCAGGTCTCAGAAAGCGAACGCAGAGCGGCAACAGGACCCGGCCATCCCGGGATACGCCCCGGAAAGCGGAAGTGAGTCCTCGCTGAAGTCTGCACAGCGGCATCATCCACAGGAGGTGAGAGGCGGAAACAGCCCAATGCTCATCCACAGATGAACAAAACGTGGCACATCCACGCGATGGCTCGGATTCAGCCCGCAAGGAACGAGGTGCTGAGAGGCACCGCACACGCGTGGAGCGTGAACGCACGATGCCAAGTCCCAGGAGCCAGACTCCAAAGGCCACGCCTCACTCAATTCTACTGACGTGAAATGCCCAGAGCAGGCGAGTCCACAGAGTCACCAAGTAGCCGGTGTCCGGGGCTGGCAGGAGAGTGCAGATGCTGTTAACGAGTACGAGATTTTTGGGGGGCTGACGAAGACGTCCTGGAACGAGCGCTGACGGTTGTGCACCTTTGTGAATATTCTAAAGACGACTGAAATGTGTGCTTTAAAGGGTAGTTTTATGGCATGTGACTCACCGCTCAGTGGACAAAAAGCCCTTCAGCCCCTACCGATTCAATGGTGTTACCACCTGCGGGTACATCCAGGTACACGGCTAAGACTTCACCACTCTACACGTTGACAAACACGGAAACCTCTGCAGGCCTCTGATTCAGTGTAGCCCAACATTCCCACATGTTCCTCGTCAGTAAAGCACATGTAGAGCCACTCTGGTCCAGCCTTGAATACAAATTAGGTTACACAAAATAGTGGGGAGATGTCATGTGTAAGAGTCAGTGTGTATTCTGGAAAATCTTTACCCTCATCCCTTCACACACAGATATTTATTGAGCACGTACTATGTGCAAAGCACTCTGCTGGGGCAGGGGCGCAGCCGGGAACCAGTCAGAGCCCCTGCTCCCCTCTCCCCCACCCCCTGCGTGGTGCTGACTGATCACCCCCAGTGCAGAGCACGTGCTGTCCCGTGACCTGGAGCAGCTTGGCGGCAGGCCCGGGGGCAGCAGCAGGCGGGGCTCACTTGTACTCCGTGCGGCCGGGTGCCAGTGCTGACCCCAGCAGCGACAGCATCACGCCGCCCCGCCGGGGCGTGCAGGTTGGCCGCCCTGCTGCCAGTGAATGAGCTTGGGTGTGCGATCTCCAGGCAGCTTAGAAACACACGTCCGGGGAACAACATGCAGACGCACAGGCTTCCATTTCATTATTTATTTCTTTTAATACAAAGCTTTGGCAATTAGCAAGTTCATGAAAAAATAAAATGTACTAAAAATAAACGCTTGGTGGCATGGTTGGGAAATGACGCACAAAAATAGGCTCTGTTTCCTCCGAGGCAAAATCCGTCGGAAAGCGGCTTCCTCTTCAAAACCATTCTACCCTGGGGAAGAAGGGGACAACAGAGGCCGTCAGTTAGTCGCGGGTGGTCGTCGACGCTTCAGAGCAACAGAGGAGCGGCCCCACCCGCGGCCGCCTGGCCTGCCCGACTCCCCCTCCTGACAGGGCTGGGCCGGAGGCCCCTGCCTGCCTCGGGTGCCTGGTCGGCTGGGAGGCGCCTTCACCGCTGGAAGGCGTGCGAGAGAGCACAGGCCATGGCAGCTGGACACAAGGCCAGGCGGGCCCGACGCGCCCGGGTTCCCGTCCACACGTGACGCGGCTGTGCCCGAGGCCTGCAGCTGCGGCCTGTGCAGCACGTGCCTCTCTGCCCTCAAGAGCGGCCCTACTGGCTGGGGGACAGGGGCCGAGAGTCAGCCCGGGGGGGCATCTGGTCACTCTCTCCAGATCTGGGCGTGCGCGTCCCCGGGCCGGGTTCTGGCGCGGGCCTACGTTGGCCTGAGAAGTCCCCACCCACTCTGGGCTTCTGCGGCCCTCGCGGCACCCTGTGGATGCCTGCACACCTGCAGGTCGAAGCCCGTCTCTGCCCTCCTCCCTGCCGGGCTGGATCTGTGCGTCTCGCTGCTCGCCTGTCCCTGTCACGCAGCTCCCAGCCTCCAAGGGCTCTGCCTCCCACCCCCGCCTGCCTCCAATGAGCCCCTTCAGACCAGCCGCCAGCCCCGGGACCGGCCGCTGGAGAGCCTCAGGCATCGGGAGAATAAAGACTGGATTCCGCCATCTGCCCACAGCCACCTCGGCCCGTAGCGGAGGTGCCCCACCACGGTTCCTGCCCTGTCTGCCTGCTTGGTGCCTTGGCGGAGGCTCAGCTGCTCCCGCCCTGGGTGTGACCGGGAGGGCACCCTTGCCCCCAGTTGCTCCTGTATGCACTGTGGCACAAACCTGAGCCTGGCAGAGCGGGCCAGGCCTCTGTGGGCTCAGCACCTGGCGAGGCCTGGCACTGCCGAGCGCCCTGGGAGAAATGGGGTCACTCAACTTTTTTGAAGAAGCCCTGGCCTAAAGGATGTTCACGCCAACTTCACACAAAGCTCTGGACTTCTCTGTTTCTTGTAGTTCGTATCTGAGGCAACACATTGTCTTTATAGTATTTCCTCAGGAAACTGGACATCAGATTCAAGGACTGTTCAGGGGTGACCAAATTTTTAAGTCTACCTTATTTGGCTGCTCCTTTAAGAAAGCATAAATGGGCCGGGCACGGTGACTCAAGCCTGTAATCCCAGCATTTTGGGAGGCCAAGGCGAGAGGATTGCCTGAGCCCAGGGGTTCAAAATCAGCCTGAGCAACTTGGCAGGACCTCGTCTCTACAATAAATCAAAAAATTAGCCGGGCATGGCAGTGCGCGCCTGTAGTTCTGGTTACTTGGAAGGCTGAGGTGGAAGGATCGCCTGAGCCCAGCAGGTCAAGGTTGCCATGGCTGGGAGTATGCTACCGCCCTCCAGCGTGGGTGACGGAGCGAGATTCCAAAAAAAAGAAAGAAAAAGAAGGTCTACAGGAATGCTGCCGCAACACCAAAGTTCTAGGAAGACAAGCAAGAACCACGAGGGCCTGGAAAGCCAGCTGGCCTCTCCAAGCCCGTGGGAGCGCTGTGGGCTCTGGCGCACCAGAGGCTGGTGTGCAGGGCAAGGGCTGGGCCCAGGACTGTCTGGATCCCGGCACTTCTTCCCTCCGCCCCCTGGGGAGCCGCCCTGCCCTCCGTCCTCCGGGGGCTCCTCTGGGCGTGAGGCCACGTGCCCAGAGGCCTCGAAGGAGAAGCGCCCTGCCGGGCAGAAGAGGCGCCAGCCAGCGGCACCTCCCACAGGC